TGCCTTTTTTGTGTTTGAAAAGTGATCCATTTAACAGGTTAATAGAATTTGTGCCAAGGCTGAATTATGTGCACATCTCATTAACTTTTTCTTGGAGTCTGCTCATTTAAAAATATTTATACACTGAAGAATTGCATAATATGTTATGACAGTTTGGTTACATTGTATGTGTTAAGAATTTTCTACTGGAAAATCTACCGCACTGCTGTACAGTATGTGACAAAATTAAATAGAGAAAATAAATCATAACCTAACATTTATACATATTAAATTAATTTAATTATACTTATTGTATTTTAATAAATTAGATGTTGAATGCATGTGGTATATTTACCTGATGGTTATTATAATAAGGCTTGATCATTATTGAAAATGAAATTGAATCAAATTTAAGATACTAACCTAACCTCAACATAAGTGATATATTGAAATATTATACATTAACTATTGACTGTATGTGGTATATTTATCCTATGGTAAATATGGTTTTTATTATAGCAAAATTGAATCATGCTTGGAAAGTCTTTAAGAAGAAATGAATGCAATTAACTAGGAATATTAACATAACCTCAATCTAATATATTGAAATAAATAGAACAATGACTACATATAGTAAATTTAGCCTACAATGTCCATCATAACAATATTACCCATTATTTAAAGCTCTATTTGAAGAATTTGAATTAGTCTAACTACTTAGAACACTAACCTAACCTGAACGTACTTAATATACCAAAATGAATAAGACAGTGGTCATCCACAGTATATTTACCTTACAGTATCTATAATAACAATCCTTGGCCCTAAGCAATCTTGAAGAAGCTACATCAGTTTAAGAACAGTAAACTAACCTCAATGTACTTTGAATATGAAAATAATAGAGATAATTGGCACAAATTAGAAAAGAGGTTAGACGAACATCATGGAAGATAGATTGGTCACGGGAACCCATTCTACGGTTCGCTATGTCTTTAGATTTCACTCCATTAGACTTTTACATATCTGTGAGGAACTGTGAAAGCTGTTGTACATCTCACAATTTACAACAACGGATCCATGGTACATTTACTGGGCTAAATCAAGATGCACATAAAATTCAGAGAGTGTTGAATTTAATCTCACTGCGATATCAAGCTTTCATTCGACACAAAAGGTGTGTTCAAAATGGAAACACAACTGAACCTTTTTGCAGAAACATGTAGATGTTACATTACTTACTTTATTACTTACATTATTTTGTGAATCCATGTGTAGATGTTACATGATCACATAGATTCCTAATTTTGTATGTTAACAATATTCGAGTATTTTATATAAATTTAGTATTTTGTATATGATAGTGTAACCAAAGAGTAGATATAAGAAGAGGCGACACTAGACAAGGAAACCTCCTAGAGAGAGACAGACAACCAATTTAAATGCCCAAATCAAAAGAATCGATGGTGCGCATACCCATAGTATAGAAGTATGGCGGTCGAAAAAGAATAGTTTAAACCTGCATATTCACCAGTAATTTATTTGTAATAAATATTTTGTCATATCTCTGTAACACATTCATCTATAATTTCTTGTGATATATAGTTTTTCATTTTCTTACAAGTTATTTGTAATAATCATTTCCGTAATACATATTCTTCAAATATATTTTGTAGAGCAATCATTCTTGTATATTCTTTTCTTTTCCAACTTTTCAACGCCGTAAAATTGATAAAAATACCTCAAAAGGCAATATTAGTAATATACAGAAAATTTATTACAAATATATTCCAAATTATTAGAGATTGACGTGAAAGTAGATTTGCTCGATTTAAATTTCCCGCTCGTTTGTACAACCAATTTAAAGGGACGTTTTCGAGAGATCAAAGGTGTCGAGAGTGTCGCCTTTGCTTTAATCTATGGTGAAACTTTATTTTAGAGTATTTTCATAACGAAGAGTATTTCGTTAAAATTACAATAATGTCTTGAAACATGTTGAGGAAGAAATCGAATTAGTCTTGGAGAAATAGAAGAAATGTAACTTCATAAAGGAATGCACGCGATTTTGCATCATTTAACTTTGCAACACCCTGTATATAATCTTCGTCAAATTCCTGAAAGATTTCCCGAAGAATGTCGAAGAAGAAGTTGAATCTCGAAGGAACGAAAGAAAGGTACTAGTTCTCCTAGAAAAAGGAACGCAATTCTTACTGATTTACTTTTGCATCTCCCTTGTATAGCCTTCGATAAATTACTAAAAAATTTCTTGAAATATGTTGAGGAAGAAATTGAATTACTCTTGAAGGAATGAAAGAAATGTACTACAATCCATAAAGGAATGTACGCAATTATGCATCATTTAACTTTGCAACACCCTGTACATAATCTTCGTCAAATTCCTGAAAGATTTCCCGAAGAATATCGAAGAAGAAGTTGAGTCAATCTCAAAGGAATGAAAGAAAGATGCTAGTTCTCCTAGAAGAAGGAACGCAATTTTTACTGATTTACTTTTGCATCTCCCTTGTATAGCCTTCGATAAATTACTAAAAAATTTCTTGAAATATGTTGAGGAAGAAATTGAATTACTCTTGAAGGAATGAAAGAAATGTACTACAATCCATAAAGGAATGCCCGCAATTATGCATCATTTAACTTTGCAACACCCTGTACATAATCTTCGTCAAATTCCTGAAAGATTTCCCGAAGAATGTTGAAGAAGAAGTTGAATCAATCTCGAAGGAATGAAAGAAAGGTACTGGTTCTCCTAAAGGAACGCAATCTGAAACTGGTGGTTCGCGGTTGCTATCGCCGTCGTGAAACGTTCACCAAGATTGGCTTCCTTCCTGTTGCTGCTCGACCATTCCGTTCGACTCATCAGCAATTTCTTGCTCTTGAATGCCTTCTCTTTTTACGTCCGATAGAAAGTAACCACGGTCGTTTTAATTGCAAGGGGCAGGGTCACTTTTTGCTTCTTTCCTTTCAGTTTCTATATTCCATTCGGGGAAACCGCCCGGGGCGCTCCAATTAATCTCTCGACAATTATTGCATCGCTGAAATGTACGTATAATCGAATAAACAGAATTTTAAGCACGTTACACTTTCACGGTGTACTGTCACACGTTACAATTACGTGCTAATTAGATATAATTATTGAAGCGATTTTACTGGATATTTAGATTGGTTGGATAATTGTATGTACGATCTGAGGAAATTGTGGGGTGATTTGAATAATTATCTTTTGCAAGGTTTTTGATTTTCGATATTTCTAAATTAATTTCTTCAAATTTTAATCATTGAAATTATCAAACTTGCAACTTTTAAAGTATCTATTTATGAAGTCAACAAATTATCCAACTTTCAAATTGTCATATTATCAATTTACCAAAAACTGCAAAATGGCTACCATCGTGGTAAATTATAGGTTTGTTCAAAATCTACATTGACGTGCTCAATCAAAGTATCTACTGATGTCTGAATATCAATGTATCTACGATTATACATAGTAGTGTGTATCTACGATTATAGTACTGGTCCTATTGGCAGGGAAAATTGTTGAAAGGAGAAATTACAAGAACAGGAAATCATTATACAAAGCGAGTACCTTCACTCGCATATGATGGAATCGTTTCCTTATATCACAATTGCAACAGTTGCAATTTAAATAAAATATCAAAAAAATAACATTGTAATTAAATTTATACTACATTTTTCACCCTCTTACATATGCACATTTTCTAAAAAGAGATCGATAAAATCAAACGCATAATTTTGAAAGTAACAACGCAACTATTATAACGACTTCTGTAGATTTATTAAACAACAGTTTAAGATGCTTTCTCATTTCTGAAAATCTATAGTTTAATGATACTTCAGTTGAAGTTTAACGATTTCTTAAAATTCTTCCTTTAAATATATTTAAACTATATTTTGAACTGAAGCTCATACTAAAAACTAGCAAAAGAGAGGAGTGTTTGAACTCCAATCTGAATTATAAAAACTAAGTTTATACGAGGTCTGAATTATTTATTATTAAAAAATAGACGCAAGGGGTTCACAGAAATGGACCGTTTAAACGTAGAGATGCGATTTGCTCGATTATTCTTTGTTCGCATTATAGTCAGCCTAATTGATACAGCTTCCAGTGTTTGATACAATGTCAGATACTGTTCTCCTGTAGCGATTCGTATAACAAGCTATGCTTTACTGTGCGAAAGCCAATTTGATTTATAGACATGCACACGCACCATAGACAAGTTCTTATTGTTGGAGATTTTACAAGGCTCGCATGACTCACGCGTGAATTATACTTCCTCGTTAGCCGATGTATCACGAGTCGTTTGTAGAAAAATATCTTGCATTTTTTCCCATTTTTGCATCAATTTTTCTCTCGTCTCAACCCGTCATTTCTTTACGGAAGTGGAGGCTCGTTGCGATTATTCTCGTCACGACGGCTATAATTGGAATTGAATAATTTCTGTGTTGACATGGGGGTCATTCTTGGATAAAAGGAAACACGCATTTGCGGCCAGTTACATCGCAATTCGGTAGATAAACACGATTAGGATCTTTTAAAACTGTTCACGTATTAATTTCATGAATTCATGGTGCAAATTGTGTGATGACCAATGTAATTCCATTTTGAACTAATAATTTATGCATAGCTAATAACCTAGAAACGAAGAAAATCTGTTAGATCCTACATTTTTAAACGTCTGATCATTAGCTAACTCTAAACACTACAAAAGAAATCAAACACAAGAAATGTAACTCGCATAAATCAATCGAACATAACCGAGTTAATAAATGGACATACAAATGGTGAAAATTGTGTGATGTAATTTTATTCTGAACTGATAATTTACAGACAGTCTTTTACATTCAGTTGTACGTACTAAATTCATAGGTACCTCTAGTTTTTACTTTATGTATTAATGATTTAATATAGATACTTTTTTTTGTTCTTAATATTTGCTAGTATTTGGTAATAATGTTACAGTGTATCATAAAATGTATTTCTGTTTCAGGTACCAAAATAGGCCAGATTCGAGTGACGCTCCATGTAGAATCAAACAGGAGAGGCCTTGCCCGCCGAGCAAATATCGAACACCTTCCGGTACTTGCAACAATGTCAGACATCCCATTTGGGGAGCGCGTGGTGCACCTTTCTTGAAACTACTGCCACCAGCATATTCTGACGGTAAATATATTGTATCAAGTTTTAAACTTACACATATTAAAACTATTCATAACTTTGAATCTTTAAATTTCTCAGATTTAACAAATTTAAAAATATCAAATTTCAAACTATTATAACTTGGATAGCTTGGAATTTTTACACCGTTTATCTATAATTATATAAACTCTTTATGTATAATATGTCAAGTTATATCAAATTATATATAACTTCATAAAAATGAATTAGAGTTGGTTGGAAGATGTGACTACTTTTAGAAATGAAGCTTGTGTCTCCTGAGTTTGAGAATCCCTGCTGTAAAAGAACTACACAGCTCTCACATTCCCATGTTTCCACTCCTCTTTATATTATTTATATTAAATCACTAATAATCGTAAAATTTGTCATTAAGTCATCAATTTAAAATTACACTACATTATAACACAACCACGCAAAACTACTATAAATATACAAGTTTAATTCACAAACACTTTGACCTAAATGAAGAATAAGTTAAAAATGTTAAAACAACTATTATTTTATTTATTATATACAGAAGGATATGTTTATATTAGAGTGTTAATATTGTTTTATTAGATATTTAGTAGCTAAAATTTGAACATAAAAAGTAGTAGATGTCTCACGACTTGTGAACAGGTGTATAGGTTAGGCGAATAGTATGAGATTACCGATTACCATTCCTCGATCGCGTCACTTCCCGTATCGAGAATGGAAAGTGAAAATTGGGACGAGCTAAACGCACGAGCTCAGATCCATTTTGAAGAGTGTTGGCATACTCGCAAGGATTAGAAATGGCGAATTAGCATGCTAGAAGGAGCGTCGAGTCAACGAAATAGAGAGTCATTGATTGCTTCATCGTTCGAGCGAACAGCGAGCAACTACAGCCTCTTTGTCGCTTGTTATGCTTGTTATTCGTTTTCAAAGTGATAACCAATTGTTATCACTTGGTGAATTATTCGAAGAAAATTTCTTGAGAAACAATATCTTTAACATATCATTTGTGAGCACATATGTTATCGTTTCTATACGTAAGTTATTTAATTGTGTTAAATCATTGATGAACTTTGTATTAAGAATACAATTTTTATACAGTTATGAAACTATTAGTAATGAGACTTTTGTATTTTTAATAATCTTCAAACTTCAATTTGATATAAGTGATAGTTGGAAATACTTTTATGCCATGAATTCATGTTGGACATGAGCAATGTAATAAAATACATCTGATTTATGGTAACTGATTCAGTATTGATTATGAATGCTAATTAGTCGTTATATATCAGAAATATTAATGAATTATGTAGACATTTTCAGCAAAGAGCATATTCCAAATTCATATAAAATAAATGAATACGTAATATGAACAACATTGTAATTACGTTATGTTTATGGTAAAGTTCCAATGTTATTTGTATTAGTTATCGAAATGCAATCCTGTGAGGCCCTTATATGATCAAACGACGTTAAACTACTGTTTTCAAATGGACTCCTTAAGAATATCAGTGAGATCTTTGTATCGTCATTTTCATTAATCTTCAAATTTCAATTCCATGTAACACGAATGCAATTTTGCACTACCTATATGTCTTCGAATCATGTCAGACTATCCACATATATTTCGAAATCTGCTATTCGTTAGAAAACAACCTAATAATGATATAATATTTCGATAGCATACTCTCAGGTTATAGCGCAAAATAGAAATAAGAAAAGTGGTGGTATACTTTACAAAGACATTGAAGTTCAGTTTGAGAATACTGTTTTGTTTGTATCGGGAAACTTCTGGCTAAATAAGATAGCAATATATCTCGACGAGGAGACGCTCGAGACTTATTTTTCTTCTACCGAAAGTTTCCTGTTTCAAAGCACCGGCTACGAAAATTAAGCGCATCAAACTTTTCTTTCGACGGATAAACCCAACTTGTTAACCGTATATCTCGTGGTACTGATCACACTTCTCTAATATCAAGGAATCCGATGATTTCGAGTTCACACTCTGAAATTCCACAAGAATTTAAAAGAATAAAACCAGAAGACGCAAACTGGTACTGATAGTGACATTCTTTCTGCAGTGACACGTTCCTTCAAGATCTCATTATCCGACACAGGAGAACGTAATCGTTAAAAACTAGTAATATTTTGCAAATATACTCTTACATCAGCTCAACATTTATTATCTAACAAGGAAATATGTACCTAAGGAATTTGTTTTTTTATGCGCTGCGTATTCGCATATTACGTCCAACATGCGTTTACTTTCCTTTTATTAACTCCGATAAATCAATTTTTCATGGAATCTTAATAACAGATATGAAAGTATGTCTTTCAAGTAACATGATATTCTGATAATTATATCTTTTAGGAAGTTCAATTTTACGTAATTGCTTAAAACGCGGAAGTTCTGTCCCAGAAAATTTCTAAAAATCGTGAAATGATATAAACAGAGAAATTTATGCGGTGTTCAACAAATTTTAGACGGTTTATGTAACGGGTGGTTAACTGGTCTGATGTATTTGGTCTCTGTATTTTTTATTGAAGTATTTTATTGAAGTATGAATTATAAAATAATTCTTATAAAATGATTTTTTATAAAATAATTCATATTTCTGACTTATAAAATTCTAAAATTATTAAATTTCCATCTTACAATATTGTCAAGTACTTATATTTATTTCTTATATTTGCAATGTTCTTATATTTCTAAACTAAAAAATTCCCAAATTTCGAAATATGCAACTCTGAAATTCCTAACTTACAAAATTTTCAAATTTCTAAATTAAAAAGAAGGAAATTTCAGGAGTTGACCTCTTGGAAACTTATATACCCGTGCATATGAGTTTCTAGTAGGCACTTGTTCTACCCATCACTGATACAGGCAATAGCTCACATAAGCTATTGTTTTATGTATTTTTTTCACCCTCGAACGACAGAGCTAGATCAATCGTGACCTAGATCTATGAAAAATATCCTATAACAGCGGTTCTCAAAGCATATTCTCCTCATACCAGTCACGTAGATACTGGAATATAGCATGCATACAGGTTAAGGCGATACTTAAATGTCAACTTTTAAAATATTGCACGGACACAGTTCTCTTTGCTACGAAACGTTCTGGTAACATTTTTATAAATGTATCGAATAATAAAGAAGAAACAAAATAGAATAAAAACTTTCCTTCCACATTTTGAAATTTTTTCTTGGAATAATTGACTTTATTCAATCGAATACTTAAAACTAGTCGTGTACAGTACTAAAAAATTATTGCACTTTTTAATTATTTAAATCTCAAATATTGAGGAAGTTACAGTATTTATTTGAAAAAGACAAAAAACATTTTCGAATGAAGAACAATGTATGTATGCTTTACGCGCATGCGCAGTATGTCCATTGCGCAGAACCTGCTGATCAAAAATAGTTTGTTGATTCATATTCAAAACGCGAAAGTTTATACCTTACAATTTATGCCTAAAAGAATGTTAAAATTTATTAAACAGTATAACAAAACCATCAGGAAAATTAAACGCAACGTGCTTAAATATTTCTGGTAGTTATTAAATCGCATGGAATATATGTATTTGGGTTTCTAAGGGCCCGCCATCTTGATACCCTAAAGGTAAAATAAGAATGCAGGAATACATACGTAAGAAATACAAAAGAATCTTTATAAGATTGATCACTGATCTGTTCTCTTCGAATATGGGTACAGGAATGTCTTTTGTTAGTAATAAATCATTGCGCTCGTTAAACCCTTCTTTACTGAATATGAACAAAAAGTAAGAGTTAGCTTTGGCAGAATTTTGTACTCGCTACGTTGCTGCAGACAATCATCACCATTTTCATAAATATCTCGGAAGTTACTTCTTCCAGAAACAAAAACGATATCCGTATTTAGCACGTTGAAGTATGTGACGTGCTAAAAGGTTAAGGAAACAAAGAAACAGTGTTACCAAAGAAAAAATCTTGCAATTTCATCGAAAGTGCTATTTGGAGAGCACAACGAGTGGGCGAAATACAGCTGGCGCCTGTGTCTGGAGAAAAAAGTCCAAACGAAAATGCGAAAGTGAAAAGAGCGAAGAAAGTGACTCACAACGAGGTGTTCCGGTCAGTGGTTCACTGACTGTGTCTTCCGATGATATTCAGCCAAAAATATACGGTGAATCACTATACTATTCGCATCTTGCCGGTTATTGACTTTCTGCACTTGAATATTTATATAAAAGAAATATTGTTTAGGAAATCTCTAAGTTAGTAAATTTTCAGAGTTATTCAAAAGATTCCAAAAAATTAGGCTGCTATGGGACTGGCTGTTCCAGCGCGACTAACGGTGTTACATGCAGTCCCTGGTCATCGAATTAGGACCACGAAAATTTCACTTTCATGGCTATAACATTATGTCACATATGGAAAATTGTCTTAGGCCATGCAAAATTACTAGATACGTCGATAACTATATACATAGCAATTTGTTACTATCGTGATAATAAATTGTGTGGGTGATGAGCGATTAAGGGCCGTGCGTTTACGTCAGGCTCGAGTATAGCGCAAGAGGTGAAATTTGAATGCCATAGAAAATGTCTGCCTACTCAAAAGACTAGTTTACAACTCTCCAACCACATTATCCGAGTTGAAAAGAATTACAGATATTTGGGAAAATAACGAAGATATAAAGCATATGACGAAGATATAAATTGGGAAAATAACGAAGATATAAAGCATATGATGTATACAGAGCATGCCGGAAGCTGTGACCAAAGCAAAGGGTGGAAATACAAGATATTAACGTGTGTTAAAAATGTTATGTACAGTAGTAGTGTATCGTGGTAGCTAAATCATATAATTACAATTTGAACAGGTCTTTTAATTTTACGGAAAACGTGTAAAATTCTGAAGAGTATCGATGGTGTATCTTGATATGGTCTATCTTAAAATAAATGACTCGTTGAGAATATCTCGAATAAACGACTCTATTTAAAAGAAGCCTATGCATCCGAGTGTACAGACAGCATTTGAAAGGATAAAAGGTGCGCTGCATCGTGCCAACCGCAATAAGAAAGATTTATGAATAAGCAGAAGTCTAGTACGCGTTTATGGCAATATTTAAATTGCGAGTGTTCCCATGCTTGTCTCCACATATGCACATGAATCAACTTAATTAGGGACAAGGACAGGACTTGTTAAAATACTTTTCGAACGGTTCGCCCCTTTTTCATTCGTTAAATAAATATTTGCGCGACTCTCGTCTATCAGCGAGCCGCCATAAATCTCGTTGGCGTCGCCATTGCGGAGACTAACCTAAACGCGTCGATCGTTGATCCGAAAGATGACGATCGCTGTGTAGAAAGGAATCGATGTATGCAATTCATTGTCAGCCTACTTTGCCACCAGGATTCGTCGAATACGGATAGTCATGCTTTAACCGTGACACAGAATTTCGACATGCATTGCACATTTCGACGATCTGCTCCTCCCCACTTTTCTTAGGGTAAACGTCATTAAATACTTTGAGGCACGTGGGTTATTTATTAATCGGTATCATACATTACTTTGCAGCGAGAAAGCTATATTGTTTTAAGAATCTTATTATAGGGCATTTTTAATGTGGTAGTACATCCGAACTGAGGGTGAATTTAAATGAAGAAGTATAGAATACAATTTTTTCATGTCACTTCATTTTCAAAAAGACTGAGTCTGAGAATTAGTGAATGTCATTAATAAATTCTTAAATTTCTAAATTATCCAAATTCCCAATTTTATAAATTTGCAAATTGCAAGTTTTCAAAAGTCTGAACTTCAAAATTCCAAGATTCACAAATTTCAAAATTTGGAATAGTAAATTGAAGTAGAGTGTAGAATACAAAGTATAGAATGTATAGTATACTCTGCAGAATAGAATCTATGCCCCCATATTCTTATTTCACCCTAATGTATGTATCTGCTGAATCTGTCCCCCTATAAAATGTAGAATTTAAGGTATCCTACATAGGACGTAAAGTATGCACATGAATATAGTACATAATAGTACATAATACTGTATAGTATAATATATGATTACAGTATATAGATGATACTGAAACCATACATAAACATTAACTCCCAAAAAATAAACACACCAGTACAACCGGAAATCCAGACTCCCAGAACCTCATCTCCAACGCTCCCACAAAATGTAGAATTAAAAATGTAGAAATGTAGAATTAGAACAAAGTGCAGCTCATAGAATCCATAAAACCTTATATAGTTTGCATGACGTCACAAAACGCATACACATAAACAAACTTGCGAAAACATTGCTACACCAGATATACTTCTCTCTAATGACACACAAAGTACCATGTCCACACAACATAAAAAAGATCCTTTCTCTAAATTTCGCGTGAAATGACCTCCCACTTTCATTACCCCTTACAAAATCTCCTACTTTCAACAATTAAATCTTACAAAACCTAACCACGTTCGTGTTTAATCTCCGCCAGGTATCGCTAGTCCTCGTCAGTCGTTAGGCAACCACGTGCTTCCGACGCCCACGAAAGCGGTGTCAACGATGATCAACCACCTCCGTCTCTCTCCGGAGACTCACGAGGGTCTGACGAGCGTATCCGGCGTGTGGTCCGAGCTGCTCCTGCAGGACATCGGTTCTGTGGTGCACCCGTCCAACCAGCGCAGCACGTGTTGCTCTGAAGCAACCCAACACCCCGAATGTTACGAGATCCGCGACGAAGAGGGAGGCTGCACGGAATACTGGCGTTCGGTGCCGACGTTGACTGTGTACAACTGCAACTTCGCGACCAGAGAGCAGATGAACGGTGCCTCTGCTTATTTGGACGGTTCGCACATCTACGGGATAACGGACGAGCAGTTGCACCGAATCAGGACTTATAGTCAAGGCAAGGTGGACCTGTCCGTGTGCGAGGTGTGCAACAACACCGAGGACAAGATTCTGGGCATGATGTACGCAGCTCTGTTGAACGAGCATAATCGCATCGCTGGAAAGCTGGCGGAAGCGAACCAGCACTGGGACGACACCAAACTGTTCCTGGAGGCTCGTCGCCTGGTCGTCGCGCAGATTCAGCACGTCACGCTGAACGAGTACGTGCCCAGCATTCTGGGGGAAGGTGCCAGAACGGACCCAGAACTGATGCCGGTCACCAGCGGATTCTACAATCATTACTCCTCCTCGAACGTACCCGGCACGTACGACGCTGTCGCCTTGGCGGCTCTGCGCGCTCTGACGTCGCTTCGTAAACACGGCATCAATGATGCCACGCGACTCGAAGACCACGTGATCACGTCGGCCAATCGGGTGAGCTTGGATCTCGGCGATTCCGCTTTCGAACCGCGCTTGGATGTGAACGCGAGGCTCGTACACGTGGGACGAGATCACGGCATCCCTGGATATGTGCGTTTCGTGGCCGACTGTTCTGGAAACAATGTCACGGTAAGGCGCGTTTTAGCGATGATACCGTATCGATATCATTGATGCGGTACAGTCTCGGTGTAACTTTCACTTATATCGTGTAGTTGTTACATCGAACGAAGTTTTCTGAACGTAGAACTTTGTTGAACGCAAACAAACGGTGAGCACATAGGTACAATGCAAGGATATAACTTTTTTATTTTTGACTTCATGAAACTTTTACCAACATGTTTGTGACATTAAAATGAAAAACGGCGGAATTTGGAATATATTTACTTGTAATTCTAAAAAATACATTTATTCGAACTTGGCAGTAATAACTTGTTACAAGTCAATATTGTGTTTGATCTCGTTTTAATTAGAAAAATGTAAAAAATCATAAATGAAAAAGTTTTATATTTGCATTATTATTGTCTCACAGATATGAAGCTTGGGAGAGTGAAGCTTTTTACTTCTAAAGAATTATAACTTGCAGTACTAAGGGTTAATATAACATAACACTTTTTTCGCTTATATCGTGTAAATACTTTTTTTTTTATCGTGTAGATCATTTTCTCTTATATCGAGACTTTACTTTATTTTAAATTGTAACTTGAAATCGAAACATATTGAAAGCAGAGGTATATAATAAGTAGTTTGTAATATAATCTATGCAATATAGCGAAGTCGTAAATTAAACACGTGTTCAACTGACGTTACAAGAGAGGCTATACTTACCGGTAATAAATAACGTCTACAACTTGTATGACTTCTTTGAAATAATGCATTACGGAGATCATGTAGAAATTCAAAAAGGAAATAACTGTGTGAGATAAATGAACACGAAGACAGGAAAGGCACACCACAATTTTATCTAAATTAATCTGCGGTTTTAAGCTAATTTATTTATTACATTAAATCAGGTTAATAATATTATGTCCCGGTTATAAATTTGATAGGTAAATAATGATTGATTTTATTCCCAGTATCATTTATCATTAAGTAATAAAAGTTTATAAATAATCACTTTTACTTTACCAGCAGAAACTTGCTACCAGGTATTTAATAAACACTTTTACCTTACCACCGTTTTACATAACGATTTAAAACGTATCGATGACGTAAATTGAAAATCGAGAAAGTGAAGAAAAATTTAGAAATTCGATTGCGTAATAGGAAATAGCTAATACGTAATGATTTATCATCAATCATTGCTATTTTTTATTGAGTTCCTTTAATTTCTATAATTTTGGTGTCAGAGTAACAGTTCTTATTAAAACCTTGACATAAATCATGAATTCCTAAATTATGTTTTAAACACATTAATAAAAGAAAACAGACATAAATTCTTATTTATTGATAAAATAAATTATTTTCCAAGTTTCTTAACAAAAAATTCATGAAATTCTGTGAGAAATGATTAATTGAAAATTAAAAATTTGTGGTTGAACTTCCAAAAATTTATTACATCTGACTGAAATTTGTTGAATAATTTTATTTTGATACAATTATCACGAAAGACTTTTAACAATTTGAAAATAAATTTATTATCTTTTTAGTGTCGTTCCCTACCTTACCGATATTAAATAAAATTAGAGAGATATAATGAAAATGGAAAATAGAAAACTACACTAAAATTACACAAAACTACACTAAAACAATATTTGATTTTTAATGTTACTACACAATTTGACCAGCATAATCGATTTTTTCGTATTGACACTGTTTACGTATAGATAATATTAAGCCTAATACTTGCTATATCACCTCTTTCCTTTCACAGATCCAGAACTTCAAGGACTTGGAACGTTTCATGCTCCCCGCACACGCGAAGCTGCTGGAATCCATATATTCCCGAGTGGAAGACATAGATCTTCTTCTTGGTGGAATTTTGGAGATTCCATCAAAAGGCGTAGCCGTAGGTCCCACATTCGAGTGCCTTCTAAGAAAGCAAATCATCAAAACGAGGAACTCCGATCGGTTTTGGTACGAGAACGACATCCCTCCTTCAGGGTTGAACGCTGCTCAGCTCGCTGAGATCAGAAAAGTTTCACTGGCTGGTATCCTGTGCACTAACACGAACATCCAGAGAATCCAGCCGAGGGCGTTCATCCGAACAGATCCTTACTTGAACGCCAGGATCAACTGCGACCAGTACAGTCCCCTGGATCTAACTCCGTGGAGAGAGGAGCCTCTTCCTGAACCGGTGAAGAAAGAAACATCCAGCGCGCCTGCGACTTCGGAGTTCGTCCCTAACTTGAATCCCAGCTTGCTGGCCGCAGCTGTGAAGAAGGCAGAAGCGGACTTGATCCAGAGAAAGCAGCTGGAGTACAATTCCTGGCTGGAACAGAGGATAGCCGATCCCAAATCGCCCGCAGGCACAGCGGCCAGCTTCTCCAAGGCTAACAGAGACGCTCTTCTACTGGCTAACTCCTCCATCATGTACGAATTGGCGACCAACGAGATCCTGAACGGCATCCACGGTCTGAGACGCAGGAAGCGACAAATCTTTGACACCACGGACAACATCCTTGGCTTTCCCAACAACGACTTCTCCGATTTACTACAGAACGTGGACATATCCGGGTTCCTGGGTCAGAAGAAGGCAACCAACCACGAAGAAGTCGAGTGTCCCGTAGATGACAGTCCTTGCGACCCTACGAGTCCGTTCAGAACCCTATCGGGTCACTGTAATAATCTCCGCAACCCTAATCTGGGGAAGTCGTTGACTACCTTCGCTAGGTTGCTCCCACCCGTGTACGAAGATGGAGTGTCCAAACCTAGAGGCACGTCGGTAACGGGAGTACCTCTGCCGAATCCCAGAGTGATCTCCACGGTGATCCACCCGGACATCTCCAACCTCCACAACCGCTACACCCTCATGGTGATGCAGTTCGCCCAGTTTCTGGACCACGATCTGACGATGACACCCATCCACAAAGGCTTCGCCGAGTCCATACCCAGCTGTCGGTCCTGTGATTCTCCTCGTACCGTCCATCCCGAGTGTAACCCGTTCCCGGTGCCTCCCGGTGATCATTATTACCCTACTGTGAACGTCTCTTCTGGAGCCCGAATGTGTTTCCCGTCAATGAGGTCCCTGCCGGGACAGCAGCACCTGGGACCCCGTGAGCAGATCAACCAGAACACTGGGTTTCTGGACGCCTCCGTGGTCTACGGCGAGAATTCTTGCATCTGCAACGTGCTTCGCGGGTTCAACGGTCGTATGAACATCACTCAGAGTCCTCATCGAGGGGCCAAGGACCTCTTGCCTCAGTCGCCGACCCACCCCGAGTGCAAAGCCAAGTCTGGGTTCTGCTTCATCGGAGGCGACGGTCGGGCGTCGGAGCAGCCCGCGCTGACCGTTATGCACACCATGTGGGTTCGAGAACACAACAGGATGGTGGAGGGCTTGAGACAGATCAATCCCCACTGGGACGGAGAGAAGCTGTTCCAGCAGTCGAGGCGTATAGTCAGTGCCATGTTGCAGCACGTCACGTACAATGAATTTTTACCTAGAATCCTTGGCTGGAACGCGGTTACCCTTTACGGGCTGAAGCTTCTGCCTCAGGGTTACTACAAGGAGTACTCGCCTACCTGCAATCCTAGCGTGCTCACGGAGTTCGCCACTGCGGCGTACAGGATCGGACACTCCCTTCTGAGACCTCATTTGCCAAGGATGGATCGTAACTATCAGGGCATTGAGCCTTCCATATTGCTGAGGGACGGGTTCTTTGACCCTGACATGTTGTACCAGCAGGGTATGATGGACGAGCTGATACGAGGACTGGTGGCGACACCCATGGAGACTCTGGACCAGTTCATAACCGGCGAAGTGACCAACCACCTTTTCGAGATCAAGGGAATACCGTACTCCGGAGTGGATTTAGTGGCACTGAACATCCACCGTGCCAGAGATCATGGAATACCATCGTACAACAACTACAGAGCGCTCTGCAACCTGAAGAGGGCCAACACGTTCGAGGATCTGTCCAGAGAAATGGCGCCCGAGGTTATAGCTCGCATGAAACGCATCTATGCCTCCGTGGACGACATCGACCTGTTCCCTGGTGGAATGAGCGAGAGGCCTCTTCAGGGTGGACTCGTGGGACCCACGTTTGCTTGCATAATAGCCATACAGTTTCGACAGTTGAGAAAGTGCGACCGCTTCTGGTACGAAACGGATGATCCCAATATCAGATTCACCGAACACCAACTGGCGGAGATTCGCAAGGTTACCTTGTCCAAGATCATGTGCGAGAATATGGACGAGCATAACGACATGCAACGAGCTGCTTTCGATTTGCCCAGCAATTTCCTGAACCCGAGGGTTCCGTGCAGCTCGATGCCACATATGGACCTGTCTGCGTGGAGGGAAACGAGGCATGGGTGCCAGATTGGAGGGAGGAATGTTGCTTTAGGGGAGTCTGGCTTCCCTACACCTTGCACTAGCTGTGTTTGCACTGCTGAGGGCGTAAGTACTTTATTATAAAGTATATCATTGTAGGACATCAATATTTAATTCAGTTTTAAAGATGAAGTTTGCTAAACATAAAAACTAAACATAAAAAATGAGAGTCCGAACACGCATATAAGGCAAATAAAAAAAAGAATATTTCGGCACTTTGACGACGTAGTATGGTTCTTGAGGCATTTAGAAACAAATTTCTATTAGGGTTTGATGCGTTTTGATGCCTAATAAAGCCAGAAAATCAATTCTTGTCGAATTCGGTCTAAAACGGTACAGGTGGCGCCATCTAGCGGCGAGCGGCGGAACTACGAAAAACTAAAATTTCGATTTTCTTCGAAATTAGGCAATTTTATGTATTTCCGAGGGTCAGAAATTGTTCTGTGACCTCTCCAGAACCTATATAATGCCACCAGAACCTCCTCAGAGCGCTAGAAAAGAAAATAAAAAAATAGGTCAAAACATGGACTGAAAAATTGGCGTCCATCTAGCGGTGAAAGTTGGAACTACAAAAATATAAAAATGCGATTTTCTCGAAAATTAGCGAACTTAGAGGAGTTCTGAGGCTTAGAAAGTGTTATGTGGTCGCATTAGAAGCAAAATAATGCAATAAAAGCTTCCTAAAAGCTTTAATAAAGAAAATTAAAAAAATGTCATTTTATGGAGAAAATTTCTGGCGCCATCTAGCGGCGGAACTACGAACTAAACTGAAAAACCGTATGCCCGTACACGCGTTAAATAAAAATATAAAAAGTAATATTTCGCAACTTTGACGAAGAAGTATGCTTCTTTAGACATTTTAAAGCAATTTTTATTTAATAAGTTATTCATTTTTTGACCTATTAAGTTCAGAAAATCAATTTTTATTTGACTCCTTTACTGCGTGTTCGGACATACGGTTTTTCAGTTTAGTTCGTAGTTCCGCCGCTAGATGGCGCCACAAATTTTCTCCATAAAATGACATTTTTTTTATTTTCTTTATTAAAGCTTTTAGGAAGCTTTTATTGCATTATTTTGCTTCTAATGCGACCACATAACACTTTCTGGGCCTTAGAAGTACTCAAAGTTCGCTAATTTTCGAGAATATCGCATTTTTGTATTTTTGTAGTTCCAACTTTCACCGCTAGATGGACGCCAATTTTTCAGTCCATGTTTTGATCTATTTTTTTATTTTCTTTTCTAGCGCTCTGAGGAGGTTCTTGTGGCATTATATAGGTTCCACAGAGGTCACAGAACAATTTCTAGCCCTCAGAAATACGTAAAATTGCCTAATTTCGGAGAAAATCGAAAT